CACCCACACCCACACCCACACCCACACCCACATCCTACACCCACACCCACACCCACACCCTTTGATCTTAAGCAATTATTCTGTCTACGACAAAGATTTAAATGAAATTAATTTTTTCCGTTTTATTTCAAATATTTTTTTCGTATTGATTTTTTTGTATATTATTAGGTATAGGTTTCATTCAAATGGTTATACAAATAGTATGAGAGCTCAGCTTTATCATCTTTTAAAGAATGACATTCTATCTCTTTGTATAAATTTTTTACAATTAAAATAATTTTGTTCCATGCAACAACAGGTTTCGGTGTCTTCCATTCGCATTTCCTAACAAAGAGACTTATAGTAAAATAAAACAAAGTTATATGGATCGTTAGAGGATTTCACACTCTACCAGATTGTAAAAAGAGATCCTTTTTCCTAGGATCGACTTTCATTTTCAAAATTTGACTTTAATGAGACCAATCGAAAGATACCAAAACCTGAAAGTCTTCATATTCCATCATATAAGAATCTATTCCTTTTTCAATCATTTCGATGGAAAAAACGATTTCTAGAATATTCTCCACTAATTATTTAAAAAGAGCATAATTTTCTCTTGAAAATAAAATCAATAACATTCATGTTTTATTATCAAGTGCGCAAGCATTAAAGTGGAAAGGTCTTTATATCATTCCTCTTTTCGTCTTCGCTCGAGTTAGACACATCGCAATTTTGCTTACATTCCCTTGTAAGTGCTCTTATCTTTCCATCAGATTGAGTTAATAATCACTTGATGGAAACTAACTATCATCAATATCAAGGTGGTGTTCAAAAAGATGTAACAAATAAACGATCTTCGAGTTACAATTTATACAATCAGCAGATAAATTTGCAAGAAGCTTCCAATATCGAATCAGGTCATGATATTAGTAGTGGCGTACAACAAGAATACATTATGAATGAATTGGCAAACGATGAAGCATTGCTAAATGATTTCTTACTATTTCGTGAACAACAGGCACAATATCGGATTCGAGAAATTAGTCACAATTTAATTCCGTACTATGAAAACGTTCAGTCAAATAAACAAATAATTCACAAACAATTAAATCAATCTACAAAGTTGCAATCAAAAGTACAAATACAACCAGATGCATCAACGCCAAACAAACGTAGATTGAATGATAGTGTTGGGTCAGGAGGATTACCAACATCGAAGCAACAACGATCTGGAAATAAACGATTTCAAGAGGATGAAATAATATTAGATGCAACAGGCGATAATCAACAGGTAGATCCAACATCAAAATACATTAAACAACACAAGGTTTCTTTCGATCAAGTGAAACGAGCTGTTTCGAGCAATCTACAATGCTTCTATATATCATTCCACCCAACAAATGAAGATCAAAAAGTACCATCAGGTTTCAATGCAGCGGATCAAGTTTTTGAATATCTAAAACAGCAAAATGTACAAATTCATAGATTTAGTTTTGTAGGATGGGCAGGAGCAAAACTTAAATTGGGAGTAAATGGCAAAGAAGACTATATTAATCTTGTATTAACCGAAAAATGGCCTACCAGTATAATGAATATACCTATAACAATCGAAAAACCAAAGTTTATTTCCGATTGTTTTGCATTAGTCATCAGATATATATCTCGCGGTATGGATTATGAATTTGTAAAAGAAGAAATATCACGATCAATCGCATTATTTGTAAATCTAAAGAAGATTCAATATTGATACAATCCAAAAACCGATGATAATCGCTTTCACGTTAAAGACTTACAAGAGTATAATCAAGCGCTCAACATGAGACGTATCTCAATTGGAAATGTTATAGTACCAATTACACGTTTTTTAGAACGTAATTAATTAACATATTGTACTCGCTGTTGGCGTTTAGGGCATATAAGAAATAAATGTCCAGCCGCAACGGCTCGCTGTCGAATATGTCTACAAGAAATTACTGACATTCAAAGACATAACTGCTCTCAACAGCCAAGATGTGCTCAATGTGATGGTAATCACCATTCACTTAGTAGTCAATGTGAATACATAAAAGCATACAAAATACAACTAAAATAAGAAGTCGATAACGCACTCGCTCGTGGTGTAATACACATATCTGAACCAAATAAGCAAGTACCAATTTTTAATCCCGACGACTTCCCACCACTGCCAAATCTTAATCGAAACAAATTAGCTCTTGGGGATCAAAACAAGTACCAACGCATCAACCAGCAACTGAATTTACAGAAATCACAGGTTTTCTTACAGCACTAAATAAATAATTGTCAATTATGACTGAAACAAATATACAAATGGCGAAAAAGTTCGAAGAAATGGACATGCGTATGAAACACGATGCAGAAGTTTTGGAATTATTACAGAAAACTATGAAAAATACGCTATGTTCAATACGTGAAGTGATGGAGAATATAGTGAATCCTCTATGTGAGCATGCGAAAATACAAGTAAAAAGAAAACATCTGCCTTTTACAACTATTCTGGAAGAGTTACAAGCTGGTACAAGCAATAGGTTATCGAAACAAGTTCCCAACACGAATAAAGATGGTCAAACAAGCAAAGATATAACCACATTATCTGCATCAAGCAATACAAATACTCGATGACCGTGATTTCAATTCTCAAACCAACAACTAAGAAATTTTTTCCTTCTTTTCTCCACACTAAACATGTAGAAAGAAAGATGCAATCATTAATACAATTAGATAAGTGGAACTTCACAGAAAAAGACAATGAGTTTACTCGCTGCCTCCTAGATGAGTGGTACTCTAGTAGTACATTATCCTCAGTTTTACAGCAATGGGAGGAGCATAATAATAAGTACTTGCCGTCCGAAAAAGCTCCTCTGAATATTCTATGCTATAATGTAGAAGATTGGGGTACCCGTCATTTAGAAGTAGTAGATCTAGTTTATAAAGTAGATGCATCAATTAGTGTGTTGACAGAAGTTGGTGAATTATGGAATAAGTTTACGACACCTAACTTTAATACGTTTCACCAACAAGGTACAAACCGAAGTGGTGGCGTATGTGTTTCGCATACTATGGGCTATTTAATTTCAGTCTGAATTTATCAAATAAAAATAATACT